AATTTTAAAAAAAGGCTCAACTACAGCATAGATAAAAGCTCTAGTCTTCTTTACTTGTTTCAGAATAATAGACACCATCGTATTTCTCCTTATCATTACTTAAGGAACTGGAAATAGGGACAAATTGCTATCAAGAAAAAGATCTTGAACCTGTATTAGCACTAAATGTGTGCCCTTTACTATAATAGTGATAAATTTTATGTGACTTCAAATCCAATAAATATTTTTTAACCCATTCTGATAAAAGAACTGCTAATTTCTGAAAATTAAAAACAATGAGATAAAGATTATCTGACCAGCTTTCAAGTTTTTTTTCTTTAATAATAAAATGTTTTCCCTTCATTTCTTTAAAACAATTTTAACTGATACGGGTTTAATATCCCTTATCTGAAATGTTTAAACTCTAAAATGTTTCAGATTTCAAACAATTCTGGGTTTGGGATTATCTGAGGTAATAATGAGTATCTTGCAGATAAGAGAAAAATCTAAATACAAAAGCTACCCCATACACAGAAACTGAAGGTTATTTTGTACAATATTCTTATATTTTTGGTTGTGAGCCTAGCCTTTAACGGCTGAGCTATCCCTCCAGCCCTATTTTATACAATATTCTTGATGCACTTGTGTGGACTTTAACATTGAGATTCTACAATGGTGCACAAAAACTTAGATTTTGGAATATTTAGATTTCAGGTTAGATATACTCAGTTATACAACACCCTTTATCCACTTAAGATGATTTTTACTCTAGGATTTGCCTTTATATTATTTTTAAAGAGTCTGTTGGAAGAAAATACCAGAATCCCTTGGACCACCTCCAATAAATGTAAGAAAGTAAAAAGATAGTATGTGTTTGCTTTAGATAGCAAACTAGCAATTGAAAAGACCTGGAACTCAAACTCACACTAACACAGAAGTTCTAAAATCAATTGTCTTCCATAATTTAGTCCAGAACAGCATTGATTCTAACATCAAACACGAAAGATCACACTTTTAACTATACATAAACTAGGAAAGTGATACTTGATTTTTTTAAGAAAATAAAGTCACCATACAAAGGTGACTTACTGACGATAAAAGCAACATATAGCGTCTGTTCTCGCTTGATTGAACATGTCATATTCAATCTAAACACACGGTTTTTATTCTTACTGTCACTCACACCTAGCTCCAAATGGTTCCACAACCGAGTCTGTGCCTGCGGTTCCCTTACAGACATCTATTTTCAGTTAACACTGTCACTAAAGTGCATGTTAAAAAGACTGTTCACACACTTATGTTGAAATGCTAAGTCACTTCACATATTTAACACTTCTTTACTACAGAATAGACAGATGTGCAAGACTGTACACTTCAAGAAATTTTAAAATATGAAACTTGAAACCAAAGAAATATGAAACACAGCAACATCACCAATTCTATCTTCTCATTAATAAGTGTAGTGTGTTCTTATCCTAAAACCTCCTTTAAAAAAAGGACACACAGACATGTATAATGCACAACTAGGAAAGATCAAGACCTAACTTCCACAACTAATGTGTAATTCCTTTAAAATCAAATTTTGCTGTGAAATTATAAGAAAATCTAAAGCAAACTGTATTTTAAAGTTCATCCTAAAATACTCCACAATCAGAGTTACTCAAACGGCTAGAGAAGCACAGAAGTGTAAGCAGGCACATTTATTGAGGTTCCCAGGTTCAATGCCTTCAGTTACTTTCAGGTATGTATTCACATTCCAAAATGCCCCACAAACTTTTATTCCACTAATGTAGGGAATGGAATAAAAGATGAAGGGGTCCTGAGCAATGGATGAGCAAGAATGATGTTAATGACTTATGGGAGACAAGGAAACAAAAGCAAGACAGACAGTGCACTGGAAGTTTCTGTACCTTTTGTTTGTTTGTTTGTTTGTTTTTTGTTTTTTCAAGACAGGGTTTCTCTGTGTAGCTTTGCGCCTTTCCTGGATCTCGCTCTGTAGATCAGGCTGGCTTCCAACTCACAGAGATCCACCTGCCTCTGCCTCCCGAGTGCTGGGATTAAAGGCGTGCGCCACGACCGCCTGGCATTTTACTCTTAACTTTCAAAGGTAAATCTTTTTTTCTAAACTTTAGAATTTACAAAGATTTCTCTAAATGAATTTAAAAATACAAAACAAACAAAGAAACAACAACAAAACCTCACTGCCTCAAACCCACTAAGCTATATATCAGGACAGCATAGCTAATTATAAGACAAATATTCAAGTAACAATCTCAACAAATCTTTAAAGTACTGAAATACATATTTTATTAGCTTATAGCATCCTAACAAATTATAAACTGTAAACTTCAAGGGTCTAAAGAGAGAGCTCAGTCATAAAGCACACATAATGCTCTTATAGAGGACATTAGACAGCTCAGATGGCCTGTAACTCCAGCTCCAGGTGATCTGATGCCTCTGGTCTCCTAGGGCAATGGCCTTCTAGGGCAACTGTATTCCTGTACACACACACCCACAGAGGGTATGTCTGTATGTATGTGTATATATACACATATATTTCAATTTGTATTGCCTTTCAAAAATAATGCAGTAATAAAAAATGACAAGTACAACAAAAGTTTTATAAAATATAGAAAAAAATTACTTGTCTAAAAGAACTTGTTCTTTTTGTATTATAACTCAAACTGAAACTTTGTCTTCTGTATTATCACAAAAATTTCTTAGATTATAAAAGTGAATATTATATAAAGTTTAAGTCTTAAAAATTTGTGTAGTTTAATAATTTGAGACACAAAACCCCTTTCCTACAAAGCACATTTTATCTTTATGACATTCCCTGTATCGTGTGAATGTTAAATTCCAGATATGTTAATTCAGGTGTTACTGAGCATGGTATACTGAACCCATGAGATTCTGAGCAACATTTACTTTAGACAGGGTACTAAAGGTAACATGTTTGAAAAATAAAGTGTGGTCCTATACATCTAAAACAATTTCTAAATATCAAGTTCAGAGGTGGATCAATTCAATTTCACTTAAAATTATTTCTATGAAATAATGAGAGCATGTTTAATTACAAAAGTTAAATATATAATGTTTAAAGTTTTAGCACTACGTATTTCATTTAGAACAGACTTAAATCTAGGATCATTAAAAAAAAAAAAAAAGTACTTAGAAAAATCCTTTGGGAGCCACATCATGCAGTGGGTTAAGGCACTTGCCATTCAAACCTGTGAACTTGAGGTCCATCTCTGAACCTCACCAGGAAGAGAATCAACTCCTGAAGGTTGACCTTGGACTTTCTTGCAAGTCCCTGCACTCTCTCACACATGTAAAGTTTATTTCAAATTATTGTAAATAATTTTTAAGTACTGAACACAAAACTATGTGCTCTTTGAATTTATGGTAGATAGCTATGAATGCTTTTCCAAACTAAGTACGATAGCTACCATTTCTTACATAGTCTTCTATAATGTCATTTGAAATCTTAGCCATTTGAACATAGAAATCACATCTTCCCTCATTTTTTTCTACCTTGCCAACCATCATATACTGAAATGATGAGATTACTCATCATTAAAATTTAAAATTTACATTAATTACTTATTTGCAATCCTTCCTTAAAATTATGGTAGGCTTCCCACCAACAAAACGACAATATTGACACTTAAGGCTTAGTTTCAGCCATACAATATACCTGAATATATTCTTGGTATTAATAATCCTTACCTTATAAGGATGTTTGCATTTTACATGAGTTATTTTATAATTTTGGTATTAATGTTAAAGTCCAAGACTCTAATATGAAAATTAGCATTTAAAACATGGCCACACGCAGGAAATAAGGCATCGTTGGCATCTGGTGAATAAAGCGCTAACAACAATCGTTATGTCCTTAGTGGCAAACAGTTGCAGTTATTAAAACACTACCATGTACACGTGACACACATCTTCCTGGACAGCACTAAGTAAACTTAATTCTGAAAGACTGCAAATGGAAGTTTCTCGAACTCCTCATTGCGATGCTCCTTGAAATGAAAATTCCCAGTTACCTAAATTAGCAAATCTCCACGTGCCTGAACATAAACGGCGCGATGTCACCGTCTCATGTATGCTACCTACGGTGGGTGCTTCCTGATTTTTTTTTTTTTTTTAAAAAAAAACTCAATTCTGGAAGGCTAAATGGGGTGGATTACTAGGAGCCGCGATTTTCCCCGTCCAACTGGGGTCGCCTCGGATAATTTACCAGGAAGGCAGCCCACCCTGCAGGAGGACAGGAGCCTCTAGCACCCGCCCTACGACTCGGTGGTCCTCCCGCACGGCCCCCGTCCCCCCCGCCCCCCGCAACCCCCCACGGCTGGCTGCGCTGCGTGCGTTAAGCGGGCGCTTCGGGCAGTTGGCTCCCGACAGCCACTCACGCCGATGCTGCGCTTGGCGGCGGCCCAGCAGGTTCCGAGTCCGGGCAGAGGAAAGTTCGAGGCCCGGCCCTCTAGGAACTCCGGGCAGCGCAACGAGAGGGGCGCAACGGCGGGCGGCCCGCGGGGTCGTGTGCAGCGCGGCCAGGAGGCCGAGCCCCCCCCCCCCCCCGAAAGCCGCTCCCGACGGGGCGGCCGCGCAGGCCAGCCCGCGGACGCCGCCCGACGGTGCCGCCCCGGACCCCCGGCGCGAGGGCACACAGCCCCCCCCCCCCCCCGACTGTGGCCGTTGGCAGCGGTTTGCCGGTCACCCCCCGCAGCTCCCATCCCCGCCTCACCCCGTCGGGTCTTCTAAGGCCAGACCTAAAAATGCCCGGACCAACGAGCGCAAACCGCCGCCGGGAGCTTGGGAGCTGCGCTGGGGGGGCGGAAGCCGCGGAGGGAGGAGTCGCCGCGGGACGGGGCGGGGAAGGGCGTGGCCAGCGGGGCTCGTGCCGTCCTCGCGCCTCGGGGGCCTCGGGCTCCGCGCTTCAGCCTCACGCGGAGTTCCCCCCCCCCCACCACACACACACACACACACACACACACACACACACACACACACACACACTCGGCCAATCAGCGGCCGCCCCTGGAGCTGAGGGGGCGGGGCCGAGGCTTGAGTCCCGAAGAGGCGCTTGGCGACAGGAAAAGGGGACGTGGAGTGGCAGGCGCGCTGGCCAATCGGGACGAGAGGAGCGAATCTTGGCGAGTGAGTGGGGTTTGGCGCGTGGAAGACTTGAAGGCGTTACAAAACGAGTTACAATGTGAACGTGTGTGCCTGCGGTGGAGGAGACTTGTAGGTAGGCTGAGAAAGTTCTTCTGTCTTGTTGGATGGAATTTGCAAATCTTGAACTACTAGCTTGACCCCCCCCAAACAGTCATGGGGACCATTATAAAAGAGGACGGGAGGGGTGGCCTCCAAAGACTTCTCCAAGTCTCCTTCAAACGGATATGATGAGCCCCTGATGATAAATAACGTTAACATAGTTTGAGCCCTTTCATGCTTCTCCATACCAGCCGCTATCCAGGGCGTGTCCATCTGTTCTTGCAGTACTTTAGCCAAGGTGTGGTGTGTTTTACAGACAGAAACCCACGCAGACAACTCTAGGCTTTTGCACAGTAAGTGGCCCCAGGTTTGTGCCGAAAAGTGCATATAGAAGCACTGTGATATGTACTATCTATCCCAAAGGGTGCCCACCAGGAGAACGCCAGGTACCACGCCAGGGGTACATTGGCAACTCGGAAAGTAGTCGTTCTTAAACTCCGCTCTGCTCGGTACACTTAAAACAAGTTGAAAGCTTAAGCCTAGTCTGATAGACTTGTTTGGCTTCGTTTTTAAGATTTTTTTTAACCTCAAAAACTGCAAAAGTAAGATGTGTTAAACACTGTTTGCTAGGCCTTTTTGTTTCTTCGGGAAGAAAAGACTGTCCACATTCTTTATTTTCATGTGGGTGGCTTGTGCTTTACCAATAATGAAGTCTACAAAAAGTTTCTGACTAGGTGAAATGGTTTTTAAGCGTTGTAGGAACCTTTAAGAGCCAGTAGGTGGCAATATTTCATTGTGAGATGTGAAAGAGTTCTTGGTGGTAGCCTGCGGGGCGGGGGGTGGGGGTGGGGGTGGGGTGGTGGTTATTTAACATTTCCAATTTGGGGCTTTCTTCTCACACCCCACCCCCAGTATAAAGGAAACCAAGCAAACAAGAGTTTCTTTCTTCCTTTTCTTTTCTTTCTTTCTTTTTTTTTTTTTTTTTTTTGGTTTTTCGAGACAGGGTTTCTCTGTGTAGCTTTGCTCCTTTCCTGGAATTCGCTCTGTAGACCAGGCTGGCCTCGAACTCACAAAGGTCCGTCTGGTTCTGCCTCCTGAGTGCTGGGATTAAAGGCATGTGCCACCACCGCCCAGCAAACAAGAGTTTCTTAAAGGGCACTAGAGTGAGACCATAGAACCTTGCTTTAGTAAGACAGTGTTAAAAGACTCCTGTTACAGATATGCCATTTCGGTCAAAATCTTAAAGAAATTAAGCAAAATTCATTAGCAGATGTCTTTTTCATCGAATGCTATAAAAGACTGTGATTTCTGCAACCAAAAATAGAGGAATAGCCTCTATTAGATTTCCAAGAAATGGATATCTGAAGCCTTGTTTGCCACTAGAATTCTTCAAGAATAGATTCCACATTAGACTTTGTTGGTGGCTTTGTGGGGAAAGTGATCCAAATGGGGAAATATGTGAAATGTAGATGATGCTTTGGATAAGAAAGAAGCAGACACAGAAAATAGCCTTTGCTGAAGGCAACGACAGACGAGAAGTGCCGCAGCTGGGAGGGAAATGATGCTGACTGATAGCTCAGCATTAAGATCCCTTGCTGTTCTTCCGGAGGACCCACACCCAGTTCCTACCACCCAGGGCAGGTGGCTCACAACTGTAAGGCCTCCAGTTCCAGGGGATCTAGCACCACTGGCCTCTTTGGGCACATACCCACATACCAACACCCCATACATAATTTTAAAATAATAAAAAATCTTTTTAAAATGGAAGGAATGTGCAAAATAGTTGATTAGAATAGCTTGGATATATGTAAGTATATTTCCCCCCAGTGAAGTGCAAGCTTTGGGATATTTAGAAGTTAGTTTCATAGATGTCTTATAAAATACAAATCCCCAAAAGGTAAGGAAAACAATCGGAAGTCCTTGTAAATGTTTGTTCTCCAGCTCCCTGATAGAAATAAAGGTGAATTTTCTATATAAAGGTTGGTGTGTTGCAAGAGACTCCTCCATCCATATCCGGCAGTCATGACACAGAGCCAAAAACGTGACAACTCCTGGTGTGTTTCTAGAACTTTTATCACCTGTACAGAATTCCAGCACAGGAAACAGCTCTATTTTAATCTGATTACTCTTCAGTCAAGGTGACACCCTTTCAAAAGTTTATGTTTTGTTTTTGTTTTTTATGATGTTGGTACAGTCATCTTCCCAGCCCACTGGACCACTCTCTCTTGGGGTGTGATACCTTCTGCAGCAGAATGGCTGACTGGCCAGAGGTTCCCGTCACTTTGAACCCTGAGCCATTATCAAGATGTCTCTAAGGCAAGGTGAGTGCTTCAGCCGTGCTTTCTCTGGTGATGGAAATGAGCCATCTTATGTTCTACCTATATTGTCCTGTGATTGACAGTCTTGCTTTTATGGCAGCAAAACAGACATCACGGTCTTGGCATGTAGCTCAGCGTCAAGGTATCAGTACCAAACCTATGGCCAAGACCTCAGTTAACATTACAGATTGAAGGAAGTTCTGATGAGAACAGAATTTCTGGTTTGTACTAGTTATTAGTTAATAGCAGGAACATGTTGCAGAGGCTTCTCACTGTGAGGGGCAGGGAAGAAAGACAGAGGGGAAGGGCTTGAACACAATACAATCTTCAGAGGCACATCTCCAGTAATCTCCTTTCTTCAGCTAGGCTCACCTCCAACCACAACCCTGCCAGGATGAAGCAAGCACACGGCAGAGGAGCCTGTTGAGTACATTTCATTCATACTCAAACCACAACAAGCCTATTTAATTATTATCAGGAGAAAACCCTGATGTGTAGTTACAAGAAGGAACTATAAACCTAAAACTGCTACTCAGTTTAGGGAGACAGTGTTGCCAACAATCTCTAGATTAACCTATAAAGCACATCTACATGTCAAGTCCACTGACCAGCACAACATACGAGAAACTTCACCATCACCTCTAGAGGTTAGGAACACCCACTTTTGCTCAGGAAAGTGAAGACTGAAATCATTTGCCCATGGTTCCAGTCAATTGGAAGCCTGACACAAAGCAGGATCCTCCCCCTTTATCAGAGAGAATTCCCCCAAGGAAGACCAAACAAAAGAACCACCAAATATGAAAACTTACTGTAGCAAAATTTAAACAAATGATGAAACACACAGAAAAAAAATAGTGGGTTGAATAAATAATTAATACCCAAACTTATCTCAGTAGATTTTACTCTTACAACTGTAGAAATAATTTTTGACAAAATATCCCTTATTATATCAGATGGTCCTGTCATAGAAGAAAACCCAAATACAGTGGCAGATGATCTAGGCATTTTAGATGGAACCAGCAGGCCATTGTTGGATGAACTTTCTAGCAAGACTCTGTGCTTTTGCAAACTAACCTTTGAGCTGGATTCAGTCACACCCACCCCCAAGAGTGCTGAGATTTCGACTGAGCCCAAATTGGCAGTTTCCTGAAACATTGCTTATTGACCTCTGCTGACTTTCCACACAAGGTTCTCCTTCCCCTCAACTACCACAGCCTTGCAATTGCACCCAATCCCTGTCTTAGGCTACTTGATGTTTGCAGGCAGTCCTAATCATTTCCAGATAAGCATGAGTTTCTTTGTTCATAATCATGTTGTTTGCATTCATAAATATAATTGATAAAAGGACAAAATAATAAAACAAAAGAGAATTTTAAAAAATGGTAGTGGTGATAGAACGGGTAAAGCACCCTGAACCCTGTGAGCTGCCTGGGTGTGGGTGCTGGGGTAATGTGGAACATGAGTAGATGCCTGGAAAGGGGTGGCACTTGTGACTGTGGGGAGCCAGAGCTTTTCCTTAGTAAGATTCTCACCTGAACAACAGGAAATTTCAGAAGACAAAGGAAACACCTTTTGTACCTTAAACCCAGAGCCAGTTCTTAAAGTGAGGAATTAAAAGTATGAGATGTAGATGCAGAGATGAGGAAAAGAGTTCATGTGGAAATGTGCAACCCAGATCACAACTTCCCTGCATATTATCACCAGTAGTCCTGGCAGGCAGAAGCCTGGCAAAGACCACATAGGGCTACCCTGTCCCTCTGGCCTCCAAGGTCTAGTGGCTCACTTTCTACTTTACAGCCATCAAAGGCCCAACATCTGCTTCGCAGTTAGATGCTCAATATGAATTTGTTGTAGTAGGAGAGTAGTGTGCTAGGCTGGAAAGATGGCTCAGCAGTTGAGAGTACTTCTGCCTGTTAGGATGAAATGAGTAGAAATCAAATGCATGATTGTATCTGTGGACATGAAAATACCAAATGCTTTCAACATGCTTTTTAAAGAGTAAGCTGTTAGGAAGACAGAAACCAGTATACTACAATTACTTACGTTTTGTATACTAGCAGTAACAGGATGTGGCAGGAGCCTCATTTCTGTTCCTTGAGAAATGGATCTAGTCTTCACTAGGCATGCTTCTGTGGATAATGTTTAAGCTGTGTTTGTTTGTGATACATAGGCTCAAATTCAGAGCCTTGAACTTGAGAGAAAATTGTTTTAACTCTGAGATAATTCTCTAAACCCCAAATGTTTTCATCTCTTCCTACTTTTCTGAAGTTTGGGTCTGTTTTGTATTTATTGTGGATATTACATTTTTCACAATTGTTATCTGTACTTTTTATTCAACTTTATTCTGTTTACTTAAGTTTAATTGTAATAGGAAATTTTTGTGGTTGCTTCAGATGCAACAATATTTATAACTAACCCCTAAAACTTAATGAAAAGGTAACTTGAATATTTCAAATAAAATATGAATATCATGAATAAAGAGTGCTGCTCTTGGCAAAGACCTAGTTTGATTCCCATCACCCATATGGTGCCTCACAACTATTTGTATAGGTACATGTTTGAATGTATGTCTCTAGAGAATTATAAGTGAAAAAGATCTTTCCTAGCTACATGTTTATAAACATGAAAAATAATTGTAACACTGAAAGAAAGTGACATTCTGGTGTGTTTTAAAATTTACGGTGAGAGTGTGTGTGTGTGTGTGTGTGTGTGTGTGTGTGTGTGTGTGTGTGTGAAAGTGAAATGAGTACTTTAAATGCCTTAAAATATATAATTTATTAGAGAGAAAAATAAAACAACTGTAAGCAAGGTATAGTCAACAATCTCAAACTTGCAGCTATAGGTGTTTGGGGTCCATTTGGTCTCTTGTTACCCCTTTTCCAAGCACATATTATAGTCACGGCCTGAGGAAAGGTACAGGGTCTGCATCAACCAGGTGACTACTCTGCAGAGGGTCCTTAGGATATCCTTGGTTTATCTTGTTTTCTCATACTTCTGTTACCCTTCAGGCTGGCATTTAAGAGATGCCTAGAGGACCCAGATGAAGCAGAGGGGCCTGTCTTCACAAGACCATCCCCACATATTCAGCACTATCTTCCAATCTGCATTCTGACACATTTTCTATGTGCAGGTGCATTTCCTCTGAGAGCCTCACCCTTCACAGCTGACTAGAAGCTCTGTCTTGACTTCCCATGAGCATCAGCATACCGAAGGGCTTGGTCCTCATTGTCAAAGGTTGTGGGAGAGTAGAGAGCTACAGGGGGTAATACCCGTTAGCCTTTCTGAAGTGGGCATTTCTTGTGTGTCTTTATTTAGTCCTTTTATTTCCTTCTCATTCAAGGTAGAACTTGAAGCACAGTGTTGAGTAAGTGTGGAAATGGTGAATACCCTTGTCTTGTTCATGGTTAGAGAAGTTTCTTTGATTTTTTCCCCTTTTAGTGTATTGTTGATTATAGGTTTGTCATATATATCCTTTAATGCATTGTTGGTTATAGGTTTGTCGTATATGTCCTTTAATGCATTGTTGGTTATAGGTTTGTCGTATATGTCCTTTAATGCATTGTTGGTTATAGGTTTGTCATATATATCCTTTAATGCATTGTTGGTTATAGGTTTGTCGTATATGTCCTTTAATGCATTGTTGGTTATAGGTTTGTCATATATATCCTTTAATGCGTTGTTGGTTATAGGTTTGTCGTATATGTCCTTTAATGCATTGTTGGTTATAGGTTTGTCATATATATCCTTTAATGCATTGTTGGTTATAGGTTTGTCGTATATGTCCTTTAATGCATTGTTGGTTATAGGTTTGTCATATATATCCTTTAATGCATTGTTGGTTATAGGTTTGTCGTATATGTCCTTTAATGCATTGTGTGTTGTTTCTTGTAGGACTAGTTTCAGGACTTTATCATGAAGGAATGGTGAACTTTAACAAAAAGCCTTTGCTACATCCAATTAAGATGCCCCTATGATTGCTGTCCTTGAGTCCGTGTTCTGTCTTGGATTGATTGATCTTTATATATTGAAACAATGCTTACATTCCTAGAATGAAGCCAGCTTGTTTGTGGTGAATGATGATTTTAATGTGTTATTTAATTCAGTTTACAAATTTATTAAGAATGTTAATATCCATATTGATTAGTGAAATTGACCTGTAATTTTCTTGCATCCTTTCCTTATTTTTGTTTACTTTGTTTGGTTTTTCTTTTTTGTATCCTTATCCAGTTTTATCATCAAGACAACATTGACTTCCTAAGGTGAGTTTAGTGGCATTCTTTCCCTTTTCATTATGTGGGTGGTTCCAGGACACTTGGTGGTAATTTTTCTTTAAAGTTCTGTGAGTTAGCAGCAAATCCATCAGGGCCCAGGTTTCTCTAAGCCATGAGACTTTCCCTTTTTTCTTCAATTGCATAGCTCATTATAGATCAAACTTAATCCTCTTGGTTAAATTTTGGGAAGCAGTATATGTTGAGAAATTTATCCTGTTCATTTTGATTGTCTAATTTATTTGAGTATCAGGCTTTGAAAGTATGACCTAATAACAACCTGAATTTCACTGTTATCAATTGAAATCTCTCCCTCTTCCTCTTGGCTTACGGCGTGTCAGTGTTATTATAAGAACCGACTGTTTTATTAGTTCTTTGTTTTGTTTTTGTTCCCATTTGACTAATTTCTAGCCTACTTTTCATCAAATATTTGTGGATTTCACTTGTTATTTTTCTAAGAATTTGAAGAATATCATTAAGTTATTTATTTGTGATATCACTGGTTTTGAATGTAGGCATTTATACCTGTAACTTCCATTTTGGAACTATTTTCTTTGTATCACATAGATTTTTCTATGTTGTGTTTTCATGTTCATTCTTTTCTAGGAATTTTAACTCTATCTCCTGATTTTTTTCAATGATGTATTCATCCTCAGGGTACTGTTCAGTCTCCATTATCTGTATATTTTATGTGGTGTCACTAACTATTGATGTCAAATTTTATTAACCTATGATCAGATAGAGTAAAAGAAGCTATTTCAATTTTTTTTTGCTATTTGTTAAGACTTACTTTATATCTAAAAAATATTTTGGAGAAAATTCCATAGGCTTGAGAAATGAACCATAATTCTGCCATTGCTAAGTGGAATTTTCTTCAGATATCTGTCAAGTCCACTTGGCCAATATTTTCACTTGACTGCTGTTTATTGACATTTTTGTATGAATAAGAATGGGGCATTTAATTACCCACCATTGCTGTGCTGAAATGAGTCTTTCCTTTATATCCAGCAATGTTTATTTTATAAATGTGGATGTGCTGATATTTGCTATGTTTTGGAATTATTATATTCTCAGATGGATTGTTCCCTCTTCTTTTTAATAGTCTCTTAATGGTTTATTATAAACCAGCTTTATAGGCCACAGGAGGAAAAAAGAAAAGAAAAGAAAAAAGGCTGTGTACAGCCTTTTGGGGAAAAGACTAGGAGCTGAGGAGGGTCAAGATGAGTCTAGGGCAGTGGTTCTCAACCTGTGGGTCATCATCCCTCCGGAGTAGCATATCGAATATTTACATTATGATTCATAACAATAGCAAAATTACTACTAATTATGAAGTAGCAAAAATTTAATTTTATGTTTGGGGTCACCACAACATGAAGAGCTGTATTAAAGTGTCACACAGCATTAGGAAGTTTGAAAACCACTGTTCTAGAGCATTGGATTCCCCAGGGAGGGTGTCCTGAAAGGGAAACCAGACAATCCAGTAAGACTCCATAAACAGCATAACTCTTAATATGAAATCTCTAATTTTTGTTTCAAGTCTTCTTTGTGAAGAATTATTATAACTATGTCTCTTTGCTTTCAAAGTCCATTTGCTTGAAATATTTTTATCCTAAGATTTTGCTTGTCTTTGCCATTGAGTTTTGTTTTTTTTTTTTAAATTTCTTTTTATTTTATAATTAATTTAATTTTACATATCAACCACGGATTCTCCTGTCCTCCCTCCTCCCACCCCCCAGCCTTCCCTGCCCAGTCCTCCCCCCATTCCCACCTCCTCTGAGGCAAGGTCTCCCCTGGGGATTCATCTCGGCCTGGTAGATTCAGTTGAGGCAGGTCCAGTCCCCTCCTCGAGTTTTGTTTCTTGCAGGCAACAACAAGTAGATGGGGGACTAGTTTTTAATCCAGTCTGCCAGATTGTCTTATTGAATAATTGAGGTCATTAGTATTCAGAACTATTATTGAGAAGTATGTATTAATTGCTGACATTGTTGTTTTTGTAATGTTTGATACATTTCTAATACTCATTTGCTCATCCTCTGTTCTTTTTTATGACCTTACGTTGCACTTATCTTTTTTTTCAGTGTGTAGAATTCCTTCAGGTATCTTCTGTAGTACTAGCTTAGTGGTCTTGAAAGTTTTCAGTTTGTGATTACCATGGGTTGTTTTTCTTTCTCTCTCGATTGTGAAGGATAGGTTTGCTGCACATTGTAATCTGAGATATGGGTTATTGTCATTCCAAGTTTGCAATACATCATCCCATGCCTTGGGATTTGTTGTTGAAAAATATGTGGTTGTTCTGATGGGGTTACCTTTATATGTGACTTGGTGCTTCTCTCTTGTAGCTTTTAGTATTCTTTGTTATCTCTCTTAGCTGTTTTAAATATAAAATGATTTGGGGGCTTTCTTTACTGTGTTTATCTGTTTGGTATTCTAATGCCTCCTAAGTTTTGATGAATATCACTTACCCTAGATTAGGAAATTTTTGTCTGTGTTGTTGTTGTTGTTTTGGTTTGGTTTTGATTTTTTGCCTTTTGCTTTTGTTTTGAGACAAGGTCTCTCTATTTAGCTCTGGCTGGCCTGGAATTCAAAATGTAGGCTAGACGAGTCTAGAATTCACGGAGATCCACCTACCTCAGCCTTCTGAACACTATGACTAAAGGCATATGCTACTACACTCAGCTTTGGCTATGATTTTGCTGAGTATATTTTCTTTGTTTATCGTTTGTATGGCTCGTCCTTCTGTGCCCATGATTTGTAAGCTTTGTCTTTTAATGGTGCACCTGTATCTTGAAGGCCTTGTTTATAATCTTTAATAATTCATCTCTTTTGTCTCACAGTTGCTAATTTATCTGTCCTGTCTTAAATCCCTGATAGTGTAGCTTCTGTTTGATCTATTAGTGAGGTTTTCTAATGCTTTTTTTTATCGACTTACTGAGCTTTTCATTTCCAAAATTTCAATTCGAAGTTAATGGATTTTTTTTAAATTTTGTTGAACGTTCTTGTAATTATTTACTTTCACTTCTTCATCTGGGATTTCATGTATTTCACTCTCACTGGAAAATTTTACTGTGGAATGAGTTATTGTTGGATGAGTATATTGCCTTCATTATTTTGTCTGGCTTTTCTGCATTGGGACTTGTGTGTCTGACATGAGGCATTTTTTTAATTACTGTGTATTAATTACCTATCTCATTGCTGTGCAGAATACCTCCAAATAGTGGCTTATGTAAGGAGGGAAGGGTTTATTTACCTTACAGATACCAAGGCTATAGCTCATCATGGCCAAGAAGGTCTGGCAGCAGGGGCCAGAGGTGGCTGTCCCCAGTGTGTCCAGAGTGATGAGTGCTTGTGCCCAGATCACTTTCTCTGTTTATTCCATCCTGATACATAGCCACCTTTAGAGTAGATCTTACTCCTCAGTTAACCTAATCTAAATAATTTGTCACAGGCATGCCCATGTATTTGTTTCAATGGTGATTTCTTGTCTTCTCAAGCTGACAATCCAGATAAACCACCATGTACCATGTTCTTTCAATTGGAGCATTTTTACTGTTTAAGTGAAGTTGTAGTCGGACTGAGGTGTAGTTTCTCTATGCTGGACTGAGGATATAGCTCACTGGACACAGTCCTCTGACCTTTCCAAACACAGAATACTAACTGTTGAAGCAACCACAACTGAAAGATAAACCCACTAAGAGAACACTCTATAGGGGAAGAGAAGTAAATGCAAAAGGACGATTTCTCAAAGGTCTCAAGTTGGGGGATGGGATATAAGTCAGTGGTTGAGTACATTTCTAGTACAAGTCCTACATTCTGTCCTCAGAACAGGCACAGGTGCACGCATGTGTGCATGAGCACACACACACACACACACACACACACACACACACACACACACACACACACAATTTTAAGAAAAGATACCTACATTGCATGATTTCACAATGGGTGGTCAGAATAAATACTAGCAATGTAGACAGATGTGACTGTTCTCTACAAGGACATATGTCAAGAGTAGACATTCTTGATGGTCTTGTGAAGCATCACTCAACAGAGGACCTGGCCTTCAAACATTCTGAGGTGCAGTCAATTTTTATCCCAGTTTTTAAAACCACACGTTTTATTTTCTCCTCCATCTTGTTTTATGCCTTAAATTCCTTTGTGTTGTTGGTTTTGCTCTTTAACTCTTTGCTCATTTGGGGCCCCGCCACCCAGCTCCCAAATAAATCACACACAGAGGCTTATTCTTAATTATAAGTGCTCAGCTTGACTTACGTCTAGCCAGCTTTTCTTAGCTTATCCAATCTACCTTTTGCCTCTGGGCTTTTTTCCTTTTCTTACTTCTGTATATCTTACTTTCACTCCTACTCCATGGCTGGCTGTATGGCTGGCCTCTAGCATCCTCCTCTTCTTGTTCTCTTGCTCTTTCTTTTTTTTCCTCCCAGATTTCTCCTTCCATTTATTCCCTCTGTCTTCCAGCCCCACCTATCCTTTCTCCTGCCTAGCTATTGACCATTCAGCTCTTTATTAGACCATTAGGTGTTTTAGATGGGCACAGTAACACAGCTCCACAGAGTTAAACAAATGCAACATAAAAGAATGCAACACATCTTTGCATCATTAAACAAATGTTCCACAGCATAAACAAATGTAACATATCTTAAAATAATATTCTACAACACCTTTGTTTTCAGAAATAGTTATTATGGGGCTGGAGAGGTGGCTCAGAGGTTAAGAGCACTGACTGCTCTTCCAGAGGACCCGAGTTCAATTCCCAGCACCCACATGGCAGCTCATACCTGTTTGTAACTTCAGTTTCAGAGGACCCCAATATCCATGGCAAAACCACAAATGCACATAAAAATAAAACAAACTGTCTTTTTTAAAAAAAAAGAAAAGAAAAAAAGAAATAGTTATTATGAAGTTTATTGGCTTCATAAATCTCTATCCAGAATTTTTGTGTGAAATATGAAAAGATTTTGTCATCAAGTTCTGTGTGATGTACCAGAGGCAAAGGGGAGAGATGTAGGCGGTGAATGGTGTCAGGGGAAGCTTGGAGAAAATAGACATTTCCATGTTGATTGAGCACGTAGCAACTGCTCCCTTTTTGCTTTCCACCCAGCAGTGAGACAACTGGTCACATTAGGTGTCTGGACCAGCATAAGCACTAAAGAGCTGTAGCCCTTTCTCCTGAGAAGATCCCTAGAGCAGCCGCAGACTTAACCACACTCACCAGGCAAGAGCTGTTGATCTCATGAATTTTGCAGTTTGACTTATTGTATGACTCAACACAATCAAAGAGATTTTGTCAAGAACATGAACTCATTCTTCTTCAAAGAAGTGATTCATTCAGGCACCAGATAAGGGTGCTTTAAAAATTTACATGGCTTGGGTCACAGTAAAACAAAGGGATAAGAAACAGTTAACCTGTCCAATTTGAGAACATAATAATCACTTGAATTCCTTTGATCTTCATTATGTTTTCCAAGAATGTTTTAATTTTATAATATGGATATTTAATTGTAGAGACTATGACTATTTATGAGATCATATTGCTCAGAAAGTTTCCAGAAGAACTGTTTTTTTTTTTGTTGTTGTTGTTGTTTTCTATTTTGATTTCTGTATGCCAGGGAAGAAACGAAAGAGACTTAACTCAAGGTGTTTAAATGGCAACTTGAGTCCAGAGTCTCACACAGCATGATTCCCCAATCCCTCTGACCCAATAAAAATGGATTCAGCAAATATATCCTTTTTAAAGAAACTGGTAAAGTAAGAATGTTTGTTAATTCAACTGAACCTCTGATAGTTATCAGTTCTTTTATCACTGAACATTTGCCCCTCATAAAAATTACAAACATTAACTCATGATTATGTTCACATGAGTACACACACTGAGGATTGAATCTAGGGATTTCTGAATACTAAGTATTGACTCTACCGCTGGACCACACTTTCGCCCCTGATTCATTTCTTCAGTTAGAGACAGTCTCATGGTGCATGCAGTTCTGGTTGCCCTAGACTCACGGAGATCCTCCTGCCTTTGCCTCCTGAGTGCTGCCACCACCAGCACCACCACCATGACCACGTCTGTGCCTCCTCCTCCTCCTTCTCCTCATTCTCCTTTTGTTTTTGTTTTGTTCTCTTTGTTTAGATTATTTTTTATGTATGAGTATTTTGCTACATGTATATCTATGCACCACTTGTGTGCTGGGTCCCAGCAGAGGTCAGAAGAGAACATTGGATTCCCGGAAACTGGAGTTATGGACAGTTATAAGCTGCCATGTAGGTGCTGGGAGCCAAACCTGGGTCCTCTTTATAAGAACAAGTGTTCTTCACTGCTGAGCCATATCTCCAGCCCCAATCTTTTTTCCATAATAATTTATTTGCTTGCATGTGTGTGTCCATATGAGTGGATATCATATGTGGGTAAAAGAGGATGCTGGATCCCTTGGACCTGGAGTTACAGGCCACTGTGAGCTACCTGACATAGATTCTGGGAATCAAACTCAGGAAGAACAATGAATGCTGTTAACCACTGAGCCATCTGTCCTTACCCTGGTATATACTTAATTGAAGAATATAAGAGGTCATATTTTTTCTACATTGCACAAGAGTGAAAAATGATACCCAATACTGTACTCCATTTTTGAAGTCTGTGACAGTTTGAATAAGAATAGCTAGCCCTCATAGGCTCATACATTTAAATGATTAGATACCAGGGAGTGGCACTATTTAAAACAGTGGTTCTTAACCTTCCTAATATTGTGATCCTTTAATACAGTTCCTCATGTTGTGGTGACCCCCAACCATAAAATTATTTTCATTGCTACTTCTTAACTGTAATTTTGCCACTATTATGAATCATAATGTAAATATCTGTGTTTTCTGATGGTCTTAGGTAACTCTTGTGGAAAGCTTGACCCCCAATGGGTTGGGATCCACAGTTTGAAAACCACTGATTTAAAAGGATTATAAGGATTAGGAGATATGGCTTGTTGGAGAAAGCATGTCACTGGGGGTGGGCTTTGAGGTTTCAAAATCCTGCACCAGGCCCAGCACCTCTCCTTCTCAGCCCACAGATCAGGATGTAGCTCTGAGCTACTTGCTCCAGCACCATGCCTGCCTGCATGCCGTTATGCTCCCTGCCATGATAATAATGGACTAGACCTCTGACACTGTAAGCCAGGCCCCAGTCAAATGCTTTTCTTTCATAAGAGTTGTCTTGGTCATCATGCCTCCTCACAGCTATAGAAGAGTGACTACGACAGAGTCTTCTGGATTTTTCTGTTTTCTTACCTCCTCCACCAAACTAATCCAGAAGTTCAAAGTTGTTTTCCACTTCCATCGCAGTGCATAATCTACCTTTCTCCCTCAATTTCCAAACACCCTCATGTCTAGCATTAGAATTGTGCTTGTTAATCAGTATTACTCCAGGTCTCCTTATTTTTCAAGTCCAGTATGAATACTTTTCAGTGCTTAGAAGTTTCTCCTGTATTTTGATGCCATGACTGCTCTTTCTTCTCTAGCAGACTATACTGTTATTCTTCAGTCTCCCTCTGGAACTATTTACTTCAGTCTTCTTCTGAAATGACTCTCATTCTTTCTTCCTTCCCTTTATTTATGACCTTACGCTTCCAGCCTTCTATTTAAAAAAATCTCCATAAGCTCCCCTTAGATGGTCACATTCCTAGCCTCAACCACCACTGGTATAGTAACTTGCAACTCTATCCCCAGCCTTGAATGTGAGATGCCAATTTCTAATGATCTCTTCTGTTTCTAACTGTGAGACTTTAGATGACACAGACAGCCCAATTCAGGTTTATCCTTTATCTTCTGAGGCACATTTCCCCTAAAATAACCTAAATTAGCTCCTATGCACAATATGACCATTTCCCAAGTACTGCCTTATAACTTAGTATCCCTCAAATAGATTTTTGTGCCTTTTCCAGAAAGCTTATTGTCAGGCAACTGAGCCAGTTATTTTGAGTTACTAGCCATTGTGAGACCTTCAGAGAGGATTAGACAGTGAGAGGAAAGGAGAAAACAGGACATTAATGCACACATGTTCACATGTGACCTGGCTATAGCTATAGTGGTTGCTGTTTGCTGTTTGGACTCTGGATGAAACACTTGGCCCTCTTCCTTACCTGATCCATGTCAGCCATTCGTGTAGCCCCATCATCTCCAATGCCAATAACTTATTTCCAGTCTTCATCATTGGTCTTCCACACTCTTCATTTAATATTTAATTATATATGTCCTATAAAAAACAAATACTTTTTGGCCTATATATCTTCTCAGTCTCAGCCAATCTATCCTCAAAACTATTAAAGGATGACAGCAGATATTACCTTCCCATTTTAAACTAAGGCTGACACTGTCTTCAAAGGAGGATCCATTGTAGGTCATTATAGACAGTTCATGGCTTGGAGCATATGGTAGTGTGATTTGACAGATCAAGATTATAGCACTAGTACCTAGAATTAACAACATGATGTTGTGTAAAGGTGGCTGTTGGAATACAGGTTCAATCGCAAGCTGAACAGGAAGAAGCAAACATTCCCTGTAACTTAGTTATTGTTTTATAGCTATGAAGAGACACCATGATGAGGACAACTCTTACAAAAGAAAACACTTGACTGGGGGCTTACTTATAGTTTCAGAGGGTCAGTCCATTATTATCATGGTGGGGAGCATAACAGCACATAGGCAGGCATGATGCTGGAGCAGTAGCTGAGAGCTACATCCTGATCTACAGGCAGCAGGCAGAGAAAGACACTAGGTCTGGCCTAGGCTTTTTAAACCTCAAAGCCAATCCCCAGAGCCACACCTCCTCCAACATGAACACACTTACTCCAACAAAGTCAAACCCTACAATCCTTCCCAAATAGTTCATCAATTGAGGACCAAGTATGCAAATATATGGGCCTATGGAGTCATTTTCATTCAAACCACCATACCCTGCATTGAGTCCTATACACCCCACTTCCCCATGTATCCTTAAATAAACTTTTACCCATAATGCTTACATTTCTCTTCCTTACAACCTGGCCAAATTGCTTATTCCTAATACTCACCTGAGACAGTGGAAAGGTTTAGGCAGTGCTTTCTAAATGACTTTAGACTCCTCTAGGACAGAGCCCTCTGTGACAATGCCTCTTGCTTGTAATATCATTCATCAGAGTTTTTCCCAAAATAGTCAGTTCCTTGAGAAAGGGTGGGTACTTCCTTCTCTTCTCTTTTTTCTTCTTTCTCTTTCTTTTTTCCTTTTATTGAAAATAGATTTTTTTCTCACATAGTATAGTCTGATTATGGTCTTCCCCTCCCAGTTCCTCCCCACCTCCCTTCCCATCTGCATCTTTCCTGTTTCTCATTAGAAAGCAAACAGCCTTCTAAAGGATAATAAGAAAATAAAATGTGATAAGATAAAACAAAAAACAAAGACATCAGAATTGGAAACCAACAGAAGGAAATGAGCCCTAGAGAAGGCACAAGAATCAGAGACCCACTCATTCACATACCCAGCAATCCCATAAAAACACTAAACTGGACATCATAATTGATAATACACATAGGACCTGGTACAGACCTTTGCAGGCCCTGTGCATGCTGCCTCAGTCTCTGTGAGTTCATATGTGCTTTGATCAAGTTGGTTTAGAGGGCCTTGTTCTCTTGGTGTGCTCCATCTCCTCTAGCTCTTATTCTGCCTTCACTTCCACAGGGTTCTCTGAGCCTTGAGGGGAGGTGTTTGATTGAGACATCCCATTTAGGGCTGAGTCTTCCAAGGTCTTTCCCTGCATATTTTCTAGCTATAGATCTCTATTTGTTCCCATCTTCTACAGGATGAAGCTTCTCTGATGATGGCCGAGGAAGACACTGACGTATGAGTATAGCAGAATATCATTAAGAGTCATTTTATTGCTACTTTTTTTTTAAACCACAGTAGTATTTGATTTTACCATAGGTCACTGGACTATCTAGTTTTAGTTTCTTGATCATCTAAGCAGTGTTGGGTATGGGCACCATCTTGTGGAGTGGGCCTTAAATGAAATCAGATACTGGTTGGTTACTCCCACAAGCTTTATGCCACCGTTGCACTCGCATATCTTGCAGGCAAGATAGTTTGTGACTAGATTCATGTTTCCATTTCTCTTTTGATGGCATGCAGATTCCTGTACCAGAACATAGTGGTGAAAGCTCTATATAGGCACCAGCTTGATTTCTGCATGTTCAGTGACTTGGGTAGGTATTGTGTTAAGCTATGGGATCTTGCTGTGAGTTTTCTGAGAGTAACGGATAGTCTTGGCAACAGCCTAAATTGTTTGGGGATTCCCATGGGACCCCTTTAGCCAACAACTCAATCAGATTTAACCCAATCCTAGGCCTGGAAGCTTCATTTGGCTACAAGTGATGGCCCATTGGGCCTCTGTCTCCCCCATTATTTGGCTATTTCATTTAGATTGCCTTCATATATGCATATATTTTAGGAAGTTCCTACTGTATTAGGTTTCCGTACTACCCCTGAAATGGCTCTTTATTTTAGCTTTCTCTCCCTATATTTCCTCTCTAGTCTCCTTCTTGCTTTCCTCTCCCCACTTGACCCTCCTGTTCCAGACCCCCATCCATTTATAACTAGTCTATTCCCCTTTCCTAATGAGATCTGTCTGTCCCCAACCCCTGCATTCCTTACTCTATACCTAACTTCTGTGGCTCTATGAATTGTAGCTTGGTTGTCATTGACTTAACAGTTGATATCCACATATAAGTGAATATATACTGTATTTTTCCTTCTGGATCTGGAATACATCACCCAGGATGGTTTTTTTTTTTTCTAGTTCCATCAATTTACCTGTAAATTTCATGATTTCATTCTTTCTAACAGCAGAATAATACTCTAAGTATAAATGTACTACCTTTTCTTATCCATTCTTTTATTGAAGGACATCTAGTCTGTTTCCAATTTCAGGCTATTGTAAATAAATCAACAATGGATATGGTTGAACAAGTGTCTCTGTGACAGGATGAAGCATCCTTTGGATATATGGTATGGCTGGATCTTGAGGTAGATAGATTCCTATCCTCCTACTGATTTGTGTAGTGGCTGTACAAGTTTGCACTTCTACCAGCAATGTATAGGCGTTTACCTTGTTCCACATCCTTGCTAGCATGAGCTGTCACTTATTGATCTTAGCCATTCTGACAGGGAACACCTCTTTCTTAAACTACAGCTTAAACACACACAGAAAACATTGCTCTGATTGTTTGTTTAGACTCCACTGTGTTAAGTGCTCTCACATGGCTTTGTGACTTTATGCTTACTGTGCCCTGTGCATAGAATGGCCTAGAAAGGGAGATCTTTTGACCTCAATATTGATAGTGTTATAGAGATCTCCTTCTGGCTTCCCCTTGGACTTCTATTCTTGTATTCCTTGTTGAATGGATTCAGATGAGACATAGAGCACAGTAGAGAAGATAGATAATGTTAACTATAGAGCGAAAAGATGAGCGTAGGCAATGACCAAAGTAGCCATTGCAAAGGAACTCTCTCACTGATTGAGGGTGGACGGTAGCCACAGACCATCTATAGACTTGCATGTGTAGGTAGGCATTATAGAGTTTTCTAAAGACTCTGCAACATTTTCCTGCCCACATCATTGACAGGCCCATTAAAATTAATTCTTTTGTCCTTTTTAATTAACTCTTAGGAGAGTGACAGTATTAGTCTTTGTTCTTTATCAGGGCCAGAGATATAACTTCAATCCCAAACTTTTAAACAGAAGCATATAACAGTAGATTTTTCTTATTAAAGAAAAAAATCTATAAAATAGCCATGTTTTACTAGGAGAAAGTAGACTTCCCTTGACGCTTCAACAAAGCCTTGCTGCATCCACATTTCTTTCTTTTAAATGGTGTTTCAAATCCTGTCAAAAGGTACTTGTAGTACTTTCTCTTTTCTTGAAATTAATATGCTACCAGAGACACCAGAAGTTGGGATCTAAAACTCTTCGTGAGGGAGAGGTCAATTCTCAGTGACTTGCAGGACTTCTAATTTTTATTTTCTTAAGATTTATTTTAAGTGTTTAGGTGTGTGAGTGTCTGCATGTATGCATGTGTACCATATGCATGCCTGGTGCCAAAGGAGGTCAGAAGAAGATGTTTGCATCTCCTGGAACTAGAAATGTCAGCAGTTGTGAGTTTCTGTGTAGATGTTGGGAACAGAATCCAGGTCCTCTGCAAGACCAACAGGTACTCTTGACTGCTGAGATATCTCTGCAGTTCCTAGCCTTCCAATTTTTAACTAGATACCTAACAGTATTGTTACCCATATTGACCTCAAACAGGACCCTCTTTCCCCCTTTCAGAATTGTGGAACGAATAATACCACCAGTAACTGAGCAGTAAAGGATAGTTTCATTCTTCAAGAAAATGAGAACTGAGAAATAAACTTGGAGTCAATTTCTCTGCCATGGGGATTGGAAGATTATAGACAGAGGGTGAGAGGAGAGGGAAATGTAGACTAATAAAGAGGGGAGGGGTAATGTCTTTCTGGGAATGTGGATATTTTCTAGGAACATGGCCACTACCTCCTTGGTAGCTGTGTTACTACTAGAGTGTGTCATGTAGTGTATAAATACGACGTTATAATGAAGTTCGATGTGGGGTGTGGATGACTCTGACAGAGTTTGTAGACCTATGAAGAGAGACTTCCAGCCTATAAGCCTGCTGTCCTCAAAGATAGCACAGACTAGAGCAGGGCAGACATTCAGATAGGCCACCTAGTCAGTACTCTGAGTAACTATATTCTTTAACATCCCCCTTCCCTGGCACTCAGGAGGCAGAAAAAAAGTTAGTGTTTTAAAACTTGTTTTCATGCCATTCTTTCTCATCAGACCCAAAAGCAATAGGACTAAGATTCTAACTGTATCCTTGACGTAAGTGTGTTTTAAGACTGGCATTTGCCACCTCCCCTGCCACACACACACAGACACACACATACTTCAGACTCCATTCTGATCTCACTCACCACCAGAGTACAGCTGCAGGTTCTTTGGTAGCATTAAAAGTCTGGTTGCATAGCTCCACTAAGCTGTTGTTGTTGTTGTTAATTTTGTCAGGAGCATGAAGAATTTGCTGTTTATTTTTATTTATTTATAATATTAATAAAATTATATAAAAATAATTTCTTATTTATTTATAATATTAATTATTATCCCTCATAATTAAGGTAGGCATAAAAATGTGGGTAACAAAGATCATATCAGTCTACAGGCAGATCCACATAAACTTCATTTCGACTACATGAAGCTACATTCAATAAATGATAAATTAGCTTATTCTTGAGGCTACTGAGTTCAAAAATATTTGCTGTCTACTCTTAGGTATTTAAAATTATTTAAAATTGAAAGACAAGAAAATGATATAAGTAGAATTGATTTTATTCAAAATACTTGTATATCAATGTAAAATTAGTTTAACTAAAAACCCCAGCTAAATCATATAAAATGAAGACTCTGCCCATATGCTTCTTATCTATAACAAAGACTTTGCCATTATAGTAATTACATGTTCCTGGAGAGCAGCTTCTGGTCTTGGACATGAACAATATGAAATAGAAAATGAGAAAGTATGAAGTAGGTTCTGACAAAAATTAAAACAACCAATCCATACGTCCTTGTTTGTCATTAAAAAGGAGCATGCCTAGCAGAGCAAATATCAGGAGTATCCAATATATACACAGTAGTCAAGTTAATTTATTTTGCAGGAATCAGTTCTTTCTCAGGAAAAGCAAGGACACATGATAACCCTAACACTCGATCAAGAGTTGTTTATTAGCCAAGTCTAAGGGTATGGCTCAAGTTGATTGGAACTTCTTTGACATATTTGCTTTCTAGCCTTGCAACTACAGACCCTTATTTGATCTCAGGTCATCAGGCTTTACAGAAGGTACACTTCCCCACAGAGCCATCTCACCATCTAGACCAGTGGTTCTCAGCCTGTGGGTCACAACCCTTTGGGGGGTCAAGTGACTCTTTCACAGGGGTCACATATCAGATATCATGCATATCAGATATTTTCAGTACAATTCATAACAGCAGCAAAATTACAGTTGTTAAGTAACAATGAAAATAATTTTATGGTCACCACAACATGAGGATGTGTATTAAAGAGTCACAGCATTAGGAAGGGTAAGAACCTCTGCTGTAGGCCCTTATTTGACAGAACAAAAGACCTTAGCTAGACCTCTCAGGTCTCCTTATCCCACCCTCACCTTCTTCTTTATTCTTGGAAATGACCTTTCTATACTCCAGTTCTCCACTGTCCAAACTTCTTGGTCTATAAAAGATTTATACTATCTCAGCATTGCTTTCCACATGTCTAGTCAGCACCCTTGCTCTGCTAGCCCCTAGCACGTGCGTTTGCCTGACATAGAATACCTCACAGCTGTGCATGGTGCATGTTGTAGGCTGTTTCCATGCATTCCCCGTGCTGTTCCCACCCATGTGTGCAATGTCCTGTCCAAAATCTGTCTCATTTTTCAAGTCTCAGTACCTGCTGTCTGATTTTGGTTCAGCAGCTAAAATTAGTCCCTTCTCTCTGTGTGCCTTCAATTATCTCTGATCAGATACCAATCACTGAAACTCCAGGGCAACTATGCCTGTTGGGCCATGTATTTTAGCCCATGTCTCATATCTTTTCATTCCATACACAACCTACTCCGACACTTGCATTAAGTCATCGTAAATCCAGTAAGTCCATTTGGCCTTCATCTATGCAAAGAAAAAAACAAGAAGTGAAAAAAGCTCATCAGATATGACTTGGCTATCACTGTATAAGATAGAATAGAAATATTATGATACGAGGAACTTGGATCATAATGATGAGCCTTGACTGATGAAGTCTAGAGAAATTCTAGACCTGCCTGCCTTGGGTTAGGAAAGAAATGATTGGCTCAGGATTTCTTCCCTAACTGACATTTTTCTACCTTGTTAGCTAACTAATCAAACTGAAGCAATAAAAGAGATACCCTCTTACCTCCAAGTTCAGCAGTTGCAGTGCTGAGGAACATTTACCAAATAGAACCTTTCTTCCCTCCTTCCCTCTCTTGCCAAGGTCAGTTGAATGATGTCAGTGTAACAAAATAACCTCATAGTCTTTCAGCTTCCTGATTGTTATTGCCTTCTTCAAGTAAATGCCTGACTCTTGAGGCAGAATTATTTGCTCTTCTCTCTATATTCCCAGCACACTATATATAGACTTTTATAGCTGGCTAAAAAGTGGTATAAGGCCAGGAGTTGTGGAGCGCACCAATCCCAGCACTTGAGAAACAGAGACCCGAAGGGCTATATGAGTGAATGGAGGCAAATCTGGTCTACTAAGACCCTGTCTCAAAAAAAGAAAAAAAAGGTAAAATAGAACATGAAGTTGCAGCACTTGAATGCTTAGCACAAAGTAAGCATCCAATGAATGATGAATGTCTTGGTCTAATGATATGAAGAGTCAAGATTACTTAGGTTAATCCCAGCTCCAAGAGCACTTAAGTAGTATGTAAAAAGGAACCACTGTCTATGAACACAGATTTAATGTCAAACAGTATTTTCTACAATACTTGTCTGAAAAAAAGTTCATAAGGAGTTCACTTAAGTGCTCCCAGATGAGGGGAAATGGCTCTAACACAATGGCTGTCAGAATGCACAGATGCTTAAGGTAATTTAAGTGTTGGAACAGGCCCATAGAACACCTGTATTCTTTGATTTTGCCATTTAATGTTTTAGTAATATAAAACTTGTAAGTAATCTGAATATTAAACAAAGTTTAATCGTCATTATACCCCAACTGAATTTGTTGTAGGAAAACTCAGGGTAATAAAGCTTCAGTTAAACTAAGCTCCACTCTTCAGTCTTGTTCCAGTTGGATCACTGACTAAAACAATTCCTCCTTTCCACCATAAGAATCACCATTTTTGATTCCTTTGTTGTTTCAAGATTTTTTTCTCATGTAGCCTGGATTGGCCCAGAATTCCCTAGGTAGTGCAGGCTGGTTTTGAGCCCCACTGTGTGATGCAAGCAAGTCTTAAACCCCCCTGTGTAGCAGGCTGAGCTTGAACTCCAATCTTCCTGCCTCCACATCCCAAGTGTTGGAATTAAAGACATGTGCCACCATACTTGGTTATTTTGCGATTCCTTTTTTTAAGCTATATTTTTAATTTATGTGTGTGGGTGCTTTGCCTATGTGTGTGTTTACCATGTGTGTGCTATGCTCATGGAGGCCAGAAGAGGGTGTTGTATCTTTAGGAATTGGAGTTACAGATTGTGAGCCACCAGGGGTTGCTGGCAACTGAACCCTGGTCCTCTGCAAAAGCAGCAATAGCTCTTAAGTGCTGAGTCATCTCTTCAGTGCCTGTTCTGTAACTCTTGACATTTAACAGACAAGTATTGTTCTCCATACCATACAGGCCTGGAGCTCTCCATCTGCTGCTTCAGCCTTCTACATGCAGGTATTTAGGCATGTACCACCTCTGATAAAACAGTTCCAAAACCTGAAATGCAACTCCAACCTGTGGTGTCATTTTTAGTGAATATACAAAAGTCTTGAAGGCATGTTTTTAACACTGCTCTGATCCAGTGGATTCAGTGAGATCACCTTCCATGCTTGGCACTGCTAATTTTGTCAGAATAATTTCCTTTGATTCTACCTATATAGGCTATATATACTGACAGCTGTGATACACCTCTAATAAGCTCATAAACTACACTTACAGTACTTATACTTACACTGACAGTCAAACAAATCAGGTTTTGTTTTTTTTTTTTTAAAAAAAGGACATTAGTGAATTTAGCTTAAAAAAAAGAAACTAACCAGTGACATATATACAGGTTTAAGGGCAGAGGAAAAAACACGGACTTGATTTTATGTTCACCTTTGTAGATCCCCATTAATAATCACACTAGTATAATAAAGTAACCAGAAATACAGTTTACCTATCAATCTATGTGTGTGCAGATGTTTGTGTATTTATTTAGTATGTATGTACACCAAATACTGGAATTGCTTCAATCCTATATCCATTTACCTTTTTTTTTGTTGTTGTTGGTTTTTCGAGACAGGGTTTCTCTGTAGTTTTGCGCCATTTACCTTTTTAAAGTAGTCATACAGGCATATGAAAAAAAAAGAAGAAAAACACAGTATCAGACTATTCAAAAGTGAATATAAATAGCTACTGTCACTGTTTCTGCAGGAGAAAACATTTCTGTGCTTTTTAGCCAGTTACTTTCAGTAAGTTCTGTCAACACTGATCTCAGAACATGAAAATAATATTCTCAACTGACTTGAAATTATATTGTTACATGAAGAAAGGCAAAACAGAATGTGAGACATGGTTTCTTTTTGGCTAATTATCAAACGTTTTCATCTAAATGAGGGAAAATGTTCCCTTTAATACCAGTCATTCAATAAGCAGAATACAGTTACAGTAAAGTTAGTGATCTCAGTTGATAACAGCATAATGATTACAAGAGGAAACGAATAACCCAAATACTCTCCTGTGAATGTCACCTCAGGGCTGCTTTTCTGGGGATGCTGAGTCTTGACAGGCTGCAGTGCTTCCAAGGGCTCATGGTGCTCTGCAGCAGAACTGCCTGAGAGGACACGGAAAGGCTCTGTTCGGCTTCCGTGGTAAGCACTGTGTATGATTCTTAATCACTTTTGTTTATCTAGAACACAGTGTTGAATGCCACATTTTCTCAACAAGCTTCTAAAGTTTTGTGTTCTATAAATATAAACATAGTCCCACACAAACTCCATAAACATTCACATGGGGATTGGAAGTTAGTCAGACATCATCCACAAGCAGAATGGGATACAGATTGCAGGAAAGGTCATATATGATGCCAGGCCCATGTAGAAAATGGACACTAGTCCCAAGACAGCTGAAGCAAGAGAACTCCTCTGATCACGAATGATTATCTTCACAGTCTCATAAAACTGGAAAACAAAAGTTAATAATGTTAGCAACCATGGCTGCAAGGAAGCACTCACCCCATAGACTAAGTAGTCTTCCAGAAATACTTTATGTTCCCAGGGATTTATGAAATAATATACAGTGTTACAGAAAACTGTAGAATGTGCCACATAGAAGTCACACAGCATTAAATGTTAAAGACATCATTAAACTAATACTAATTAGCATATTCTAAAACTAACCTAAGAAAGAAGTTTCTAACCTTGAGTTAAAAAATAATTAGGCGCCTTTAATCCCAGCACTCAGGAGGCAGAGCCAGGTGGATCTCTGTGAGTTCGAGGCCAGCCTGGGCTACCAAGCGAGTCCCAGGAAAGGCGCAAAGCTACACAGAGAAACCCTGTCTCGAAAAATGGAAAAAAAAATAATAATTAGGTAGTTCTTCTACTTCAGTACCCTAAAATTTGATGATACCAGTTATATCCCTTAAAGTCTAAAGAGAAATCCTGTCTCAAAAAAAAAAAAAAAACAAACATTTAACCGATCTAGACTCCAGACTTCCTTCTTCATGGGAATACCAGGGTAGCCTGGAAGATAAAGAAAATGAAGTCTTTCATATAAAAGACTAGTTGGTGTTCTTCTATGTACTACATAAATGTAGTTATTTCAGTGATTGTCATCACTGCTCTATTTCTTGGCAGCGATCTCTGTCCCATTGTCATTGCTAGAATTTAACAGCTGTCATTGTCATGTGAGTTTTGCTGTCCACACCAGACTCAGGATCCTTTTCTAGAGTATGGCATTGTATATGAGATGAGGTCTTACTGTATTGCTCAAGTTGACCCAGAACTCCAGGGCTTAATGGAATATCCTGGAGCTGGGAAGATTTCAAAAATCTTTACTTTTTAATGTTTATTTTTATTATTTTTAATTATATGTATGTGTGTATCTGTGTGTGGGAATGTGCACATGAGTGCAGGTACCCATGGAGTCTAGAAGCATCAGAAATACATCTGTTCCCGGAGCTAGAGTTACAGGCAGTTGTGGGTGTTGAGAACCAAACTTTAGTCCTTTGTAAGAGTAGTATGAACTCTTAACTGCCGAACCATCTCTCCAGCCTTGTTTTTATGTTCTTTTTTTCCTTGATTTGAGACAGACTTTCACCATGTTATCCCTGGTTGCCTGGGACTTCCTATGTAAAAGAGGCGGGCCTTGAACTATAGGGATCCTCCTGCCTCTGCCTCTAGAGTGCTGAGGTCAAAGGTGTGCACCACTGTGCTTGACATAATTTCTAAATTATTAATGAATACAATAAGCAGTTTAATACAGTCAAGGACCTCAAGGGACTTCTCAGTTAAGGACCAACCACAGATATGGCAGTAGTCCTGTAGGATTCCAGCCTTAGCAGAGGATGATGGATGATCTTGAAGTTCTGATCTTCTGATCCTTCTATTTCTACCTCCTACAGGCATGCCTCACCACACCCAGTCATCCAATTTATACAGTTCTGAGGACCAAACCTAGCATTTCCTGCATTTTGGGCAATTACCTAACTCAGTTATATTTCCAGTCTTAGAAATTTTGCCTTTCTAGAGATGCTTCCTGGCCTGATGGCCAAATGGACAGAGAATAGGGGGAGGGAAAATAGGGAGGGAGAAAAAAAGAGAGGGAAAGGAGGAAAGAAGGAAGGAGGGAGGAAGGGAGAGACAGACACACAGAGACGGAGACAGATGCACGTGCATCCACACAAATCACACACATTCCTGTGTGTAATAGAGGCAAGTTTTAGAGGGTCTTGAGAGGGCCTACCCCTTTCTGAGGAGACACTAGCAAGTTAATGGGTACTGAGGAGAGTTGATATTTCACTGATTAGTTACCCAAATTCCAGTAAATAACACCCACCCATGCTCATACAAACAACCCTAACTATTGTGGTGGTTTGAATAAGAATGTCCCTCATTGGCTCATGTATTTGAATGCTTAGTTGTCAGGGAGTGGCACTGCATGACAAGAATAGGAGGCATGGCCTTGTTGGAGGAAGTGTGTCACTGAGGGTGAGCTTTGAGGTTTTGAAAGCCCAAGCCAGACCCAGTGACTCTCTCTTCCTTATGCCTTCAGATCTGTATGTAGAACTCTCAGCTACTTCTCCAGCAACATGTCTACCTGTGTGTCACCATGCTCTCCACCACAATAATAACAAACTAACCTCTAAAACTGTAAGCAACCCGCTGTGGTCATGGTATCTCTTCCCATCACCAGAACACTGACCAAGACACTAACTAAATTCTGTGAGTCACACACATTAAAAAGTCAAGAAAGTAGGAGGGGACTTGTGAAGTAGATGTGGGTTAGCTGGGAGCGGGTGGATAATAGACGGGGTGTGTGGTCAAAATGCATTGTACACATGTATGACATTGTCAATAAATTTTTTTAAAAAGCATTCTCGCAAAGATTTAAAAGCTCTCTTTTAGTGCATTTGAAACTTACTTATTAGAGAGGGGGTGTGTGTATTCAAGAGGACAACTTTGGAAGTTGGTTCCCTTCTTCCACTATGGATTCAGACATGAGGTTTGAACAGGGAACCTCTATACCCACTGACTCCTCAGTGCCCTGCTAGTGTACACTGTTAGCATCAAGAAGTGTTCACCTGAGGGAAGGTGTTGGAAAAGTTTTTATAACTGAAGTTTAAGAAGAGATGGCTTTGCCATGCTGATGTAAGATACAATAGCTGTGAAGATGAAAACATCATCAATCAGACCCAGAAGCAAATAACGGTTTGTTTCTAGAAAGTGGAAACCATGAAGCTGGAGAGATGGCTCAGCCTTTAACACATACTGCCCTTGCAGAGGTCCCAAACGCCTCCCAGCAGTGTCTGGGTAGCTTACAACTACCTGTTAACTCCATCTCCCAGGATCTCGAGTGTTTGACCTTCAAGGAAACTTGAACTTGTGTACATATGCACACACACATGTAATTAAAATCATGAAAGGCCGGGCGGTGGTGGCGCACGCCTTTAATCCCAGCACTCGGGAGGCAAGAGCCAGGCGGATCTCTGTGAGTTCGAGGCCAGCCTGGGCTACCAGGTGAGTTCCAGGAAAGGCACAAAGCTACACAGAAAAACCCTGTGTCGAAAAACCAAAAAAAAAAAAAAAATCATGAAAGTAAAAATCTTCTTTAAAATTTGAAGTATTAAAATTTGAAGTAGAAATCATATAGTACTAATTTCCCTTTTATAAAGAAGAAATAGAAGAGGAGGAGGAGAAGTTGTTGTTCTTAGAATTATAAATTTGGGGTGAGAATTTTCCCCCCATGCAGGAATCTAGTCTGGGGTTGGACTGTTTGTTAGGTCATTCAAGGAAAACACAGAAACTCAGTTTCACTGGAGACCCTAAAGCTCCATGAATTAAAACATTTCTCCTCTGTTGTGAAACATACCAACATTCCCCCAAATTAGAAACTACCCAACTAGTTCTCTTTGTGATTAATATTTTATTGCTGGTATGAAGCACTTATACCTCCTTTTTTGTAGAAATATGTAACAGTTCTACATGTATGCTATGAAAGGGTAACTCAGTTTGAACAGGAAAACTTTTTCCTTACAGTAATGATTGGCTTACTTCTTAACTAAATCCGACATGTCTCCTTTGGTACACTTTTGGAGTCAGTGCTTGTGAATGTGGGGAAGTTCACTTCTAAACAGGCCTGGACTAGAGGAGAGAGTCTTTAATCATTGCACAGTATTCTAATTGTATTTTAATTTACCACAGAAAATGATTCCTAAAATAAGTATTCTGGTTCAATTAAAAATCAAAAAAGTTTAAAATACCAATATAAAAGCAAATAGCTTTGTTCTCTGCTGTGTCAAAAATTACTTAAAATACAGATCAATTTAATTTAGACTGTAGAGTGTGATGATTTGTTCTTTTGGTCCAAAAAAGCATCTAAACGTGAAAAATAACACCAAAGTTTATTGTGTGATTGCCCAGGATTCCATAAAGAAAAGCAAATATTAATACTCCCTTAATAATTATAGTCAAAGCTGAGAAGGATTCAATTGCTAATAAATGTGCAGAATTATAAACTAAGTATCATTTGTGAGTTGAGTGGTTTCTTTTGGAAGTAATCTATTTCCCCTTTGGGTTTCTAGCTTATTTAACAATCATTTTCTAATACTTGTTTGGTGGGTTTTTTTTCCCCACAGTACCCATAAAATTACCTTCCAATTTGTAGGGATGCTGAAAATGAATTGTTTTAATTAATCTCTGGGGGATTTAAAATCCAGTCTATCTTTGAAGCTAATAGCTAGGAGATGCTTAACAATGAATGAAGACCTGAAGTGGAGTTAAAGTGACCTAGGAAGAAGTCACAACACCAAGGAAAACAATTCTCTGAGTCAAACACAGAAATAAAGGATGTCTACCAGGAATGTCCTCCTACCAGGAATTTTGAGCCTAGTAAGCATCTAACAAGATGAGAAAACTGGACACCTCCTGCCAATTGCACCTCAGTCTTTCAGCCCCTTCCCCCTGATCATTTGAACTATCTCTTGTGTGCAGACCAAGATGACTTGTGCAACAGTGACAGGCAGCACTTCGGAATCACTGAAGTATTCCATGTGGCCACACCCTTTCACTTCACATTTTGAGATATCTTTTCTGCAAGGCACAGTGTGATTTGTTTACCAAATCTCTCCTAGAAACACCGGACCTTTCCTTTATCTAGAATTCCTAAAAATGGTGTGGTTGGGGAGATGTCCAAAAAGATCTCGGATCCAGCCGTCCCCCCTACCCTCTCTATCCCCCCCACCCGCAAGTCTCTCCTACCTTCTCAGCCTGTGGACTGATCGGAGTGCCATATCTGCAGTGGGTCACAAAGTGTTCGCAGTTGTTCCACAGTAGGCTATAGGGGGTGAGCCCCAACTGCTGCTCAGCCCTGCATGCCACCTCCTCATTAAGCAATGACTTCTTTTTGAGAGTCTCGTCTAGGTGATTGACAAGGATGTCTGCTCCGTAGGCAAAGTCCTCTACTGTGTCCACACGGATGCTGGCCACCTTGCAAATGACTCCCGGGATAAGACGCTTGTTGGAGACCACCTTCTGAGTACGTCCCTTGTCGTTGGTCAGGGCCAACAGGATGTCGGGCATTAGATGGGCAACACGGTTGTCCCCGAGGTAGATCCCATAGTGGGTAAAATGGGTCCGTGACACTTCCAGCACATCGCCCCGGAGAAAAGAGCTGATTTCATAGGGACGATTCCTCTCTGTGTCTCCTCCGGGAGTACATACGCTAAAGAGTTTGAAGTTGGAGATGAGGAGCAGCTTCTCCAGGAGGAGTGACACCGCTTCCAACATCGGATTCTTCATCCTGCAGGGACCAGAGTTTTGCGCTGGCCGCCGGGCTGTGCAAGGTGAGCTCGCCAGACAGCGGCGCTGCAGCGCTGCTCACCTGCGGACCAACACTGCGGGGGACTGCCTAGGGTCCGGAGAACAAGACAGCAGAGGATCTAGAGCCTGGCTCAGCCACCCCGTGCTGGGGGTCGAGAAGGGGAGGAACCAGTGTCCAGCAGCCAGCAGCCAGCAGCCCTGGGGACAGTGGTACCGGCTTTGAGGAGCAGGAGAAGTAGCGCGCCTGGAGGCGGTACTCCCAGTGCACTCTCTCTGCCGCTCTTATAGAAGTGCAGAGGGCGGGACGAATGCGGTCACAGGCCAGAGAATAAGGATTGGGCGCGGGCGTTCTGCACCCTGACTCTTCTCCTCGAGGACTCTGCTCACTCGAGATCTTTAAACAGCCCACGTAAAAGAAAGGCCAGAGGCGTGGTCGCGCGAAAGTTTCTGCACCTATCGCAAATAGAGCTCCTTTCTGATGAAAAGTGACCCCGGTATGGTTTCTAGGTGAGAACAGCTCTAAAGGGTGTTAGTACCGCGGTCCTCGGCTTACTAAAGAATTAGTAATCTCCAAAGTGCCTGCGCCGCGAATGCCTGCGGGCTCCACCAAAATTGATCTCTGTCGTTTTAGACACACAGAGTCCAGGTGCACTCAGGTGGCACGCGGAGAAGTGGAATTGCTCGCTGTGCGTCCAGCCCCCCAGCGCGAAAGATTGGAACCCTACAGTTCAGGACGCTCCAAGGCTCCAGCGCTCGTTGAGCGCGCGCCTTCCAACGGTCATCAAGAAACCCCAACGTCTTCTAGCAAAACGAGAGTTATGCCAAGTTTTCTTGATGTCAGGGTCCCAGTTTCGTGTCACTCATCCAACTGTTATGGCCTTAGGTAAAGCGCTGCCGCGCTTAGGGAAACTAAGGAAAGCTCAACGCTGGGACACAGCAGCGGAGCCCTGGCGCAGTAGAGGGTGGTGGGGGAGCTGGCTCTGCTGGGCTGGATTCTGGGTGCCCAGACCCGCCTGGAGTTCTGTATTATGTATTATGTAAATGATTAAATTCCGAGGACAAAGGCCACAAGGGCAAGCCACCCTAGCGCCACAGGGCTAAGAAGGCTAAGTTCTGGACTAAGGCTGCCATCTCCTTTTCCCATGAAGGGACCTGGACCAGGCTGAGGCCTGAGGCCACCTCACTATGGAGGACGGGGCCTTTGCTCCCAACCTGTCTGCTATCAGCGATCTGTCGCTGTCGCTGAACTTTTGTTCATTCCACAGATGACTGTAAATCTCACTACAGTACACTTCCCACCCCCAAGGAGAAAAGTACCTCAAAGGAATCAAGAGAGGAGAGTGGGAAAGAGGAGGTAGGCATGATCTTCCATCAATCCATCTGCAATCATCTTCCCTTACTGCCTACCTGTTATATGCCATGTGCTATGCCCTGCTTTGAGATTCAACAAAATCAACCTGTACTTACCTCCCACACCACCTCTCATTGTACTTCCTTTTTGCATTTGTCTAAGGCCAACGGTGCTCTTTTCACAAGTTGTTTATACTGAGATAGTGAGAAGGGGCTAGGTGAGTTATGGATTAACAGGAAGCCACCTTAGTTCCATCCAAAGAGCCCATGGTAGGAGACAACCAGCTCCAGAAGGTTTTACTTTGATCTCCACATGGGTGCTATGGCACTTGCATGCACACACAATAATGAAAACGTGAAATTGACTATTTCAAGAAATTTTTTGTGGAAAAGAAACAGGATCAAATAGAAGTTTTTGTTGTTTTGTTTAAATGGAGATTCTCTGAGGGGTATGAGAGCATTAAAAGGAGTAAATAAAGGGGAGAGAAAAAGCACATAGTAAAGAAGAACTTAACTCCTCAGCATGGTGTCTGGTGCCTTCAATCCCAACATTCAGGAGACAGGCAGGCAGATCTCTGTGGGTTAGAGGCCAGCCTGATCTACATTGTGACATTCAGGCCAGCCAGGGCTACACATTGAGGCCCTGTCTTAGAAAAAGAAAAAGAAAGAAAATCAGCATGACATATATTGGTGGGAAGCAATGGGTTCAAAACCATAGACAGAGAGCATCAGGGCAAAGTGCAGGGCTTTGCTTGCCTGCCAGGAACAGACGAAGGAGAACAAAGTACAAGGCCTTTGGGAGGAAGGCCAAAGAACTTGGAGCTAGAGGTGTAGTTCATATGAGTACATGTGTGAGGATCTGGGCTCTACCTCCAGTACTAAAGAAACAAAATAAAAGATACCCACCCACCACCTGTCTTGTCCTGTAGATTCTGGAGAAGCTACACAAACCTACCAGGTGGTGTTGTCATCCACCAGGCTGCAGAGGCCTGATGTCTGCTGTAGCCAGGGAACTCAAGGAAATTGTTGTGGTGAAGACAGGGACAACAGCATGCTGTTTGCTCACATTGCAGTGTTAACAGGAAAGTGAGCCCTGTGAGAGCTGCCTCCGGAGCACTCAACTTGTGCCTTGTCCACATCTATTAGAGGAGCCTTTATGTCTCTTCATTGTTGACAAGCATGTCACTCTTACTAATACCAGTCTTTAGGATTAAATGAGGTATATGATGAGGAGGTGCTGATGGAGGAATCACATTAATGATAGAAATTATGGGAGAATAGGACTCTTCAAGAAACTTATCAAAATGTACTTATTTATTTAGAGACAAGGTACAGTCAGAGGTTTTCTCTGGTCCCACCCTGTCCCACAGCCACTCAGACCCAAGTAAACACCCAGGAGCTTATATTATTTACAACTTCTCAGCCATTAGCTCAGGCTTATTACTAACTAGCTCTTACACTTAAATTAACCCATAATCCTTATCTATATTTAGCCACGTGGCTTGGTACCTTTTCTCAGTTTTGCCTTGACATCTTGCTTCCTCTGTGTCTGGCTGGTGACTCCTGACTCAGTCCTTCCTCTTCCCAGAATTCTCCTCATCTGCTCTAGCTACTGGCCAATCAGCGTTTTATTAAACCAGTGTACAAGAACATTATTCCACAGCAACAAAATTTCATGTGTAGCCCTGGCATTGAACCACAGAGATCTGCCTGCTTCTGACACTCAAATGCTGGCATTAAAGTCATGTGCCACCATACCCAGCAAAATTTTAAACAAAATTTTATTATATAAAATTGTTCTAATGTAGCTATTATGCTACTTAATAATAGAATAAAAATAATTATAATTTAAAATAGATTTCTATGTATCTCTGAAGCCTATGTATTATTAAAAATTGAACAGCTAATTCATAAATCATCTTAAGAGACAAAAAAATTATAACAAATTTTACCAACTAAAGGACTGCTAAAGTCTTTACCTTCAAGGAAACCTACAGTCAGCCTCAGGTTGGAGCATTAGATATAAATAACTAGATACTATTTTTCTATTATATAGAAAATAGTTTTTTCATACAATATATTATGATTAGTGTCCTCTTCCCCAACTCATCCAAATTCCTCCCCAGCTACTCTCCTACTCATATCTACATCCCTTCTATCTCTCTTAGAAAACAAATAGGCATCTAAAGAATAACAATAGATAAGATAAAACAAAAACAAATTGCAATGGAGGAAAAATAGAAGAAAAAGAGCTAAATAAAGCACATGAAAGACATATAAATGTAGACACATGCACATTCACACACACAGGAATCTCAAAAACAGAAAACACATATTTACTCAAAAGACCTGTAAGGTTAAAAAAAATGCTCCAACAAACCATTATGAGACTTAAGTTCCTCCAGAAGTGCCATTGCATTTGTTTTGAAGTACCATTGTGTTTGTTTTGTGTTGGCCATCTACTGCTGGGCATGGGGCATTGCTAATTTGGATCTTCTTTCACCACCTTTTAGTTAGTTGGCTAAGGGTTTGTTAATCTTAACCGATTTTCCTAAGAACAAATCCTTTGTTCTCTTGATTATTTGTAATTTGGTCTGTTTCTGTTTTATTGATTTCAACCCTGAGTTTGATTATTTATAGCCAATTTCTCCTTTTGGAAGTTATTTCTTCTTTTTACTCTAGAGCTTTCATTTGTGCTATTAAGCTACTAATATGAAATCTCTTCCAATTTATTTATGTAGGCACTTAGTGCTATGAACTTGCCTCTTAGAACCACCTTCATTGTGGCATATAAGTTTGGGTATATTGTATTTTCATCTTCATTCAATTCTAAAAGTTTTTAATTTTTTTCTTGACCCATTTTTTCATTCAGATGAGACTTACTCAGTTTCCATGAATTTGTAAGCTTTCTGTTGCTTCTGTTGTTGTTGATATCTGGCTTTAATTCGTGGTGGTCACATAGGGTGCAAGGTATTATTTTATTTATCTTGTATCTGTTGATGCTTGCTTTGTGTCCGAGTATATGATCAATTTTGAAGAAAGTTTCATGAGATGTTGAGAAGGTATATTCTTTTGTCATTGTGTGAAATATTTTGGAAATATCTGTTAGGTGCATTTGATTTATGATGTCATTTAGCTCCATCATTTCTCTGTTTAGTTTTTGTCTGGATGATCAGACTATTGGTGAGAGTAGGATTTTGAAATCACCCACTATCAGTGTGTGAGGGTCAATAAATGATTTAAACTGTGGTCATGTTTCTTTTATGAACTTGGGTGCCCTTGTATTTGGTATATAGATGTTAAGAATTGAAATGTCCTCTTGGTAGATTTTTTTCTTTGATGAGTATGTAACGTACTTTCCTATCTCTTCTGATTAGTTTTGGTTTGAAGTTTATCTTGTCAGATATTAAAATGACTACACTGGCTTGTTTCTTGGGTCCATTTGCTTGGACTATCTTTCTCTCTTTTTATTCTCAGGTGATGTCTGTCCTTGATGTTTAGGTATGTTTTTTGGATGCAGCAGAAAAATAGATTCTGTTTTCAAATCCAATCTGTTGGTCTGTGTCTTTTTATTGGAAAATTGAGACCGTTGTCAATGAGAATTGTGAATGAGCAGTGGTTGTTGATTCTGATATTTTGTTGTTTTGGTGTGGGTTTTCCCCCCCTCTTTTGATTTGCTGGTGTATGTTTTCTTGGGTGTGGTTAACATCTTCAGGTTGACGTTTTCCTTCTAGTGCCTTCTGTAGGCTTGGGTTTATAGATACATACTGATTAAATTTTGTTTAATCACAGAATGTCTTTCTTCTCCATCTATTGTGATTGACTGTTTTGCTGGGTGTAGTAGTCTGGGCTGGCATCTGTGGTCTCTTCAGAGTTTGAAGAACATCTGTCCAGGCCATTTTGGCTTTTAGAGTCTCCATT